GATTTGCATCACAAGAATAGAGTATATTAGTGGTGGTAACACAACTCGGCTGGAATTCATACGAGACCAACATCAAACTGGGCATGAGCAGTTTTTTGCCCAGTTCTTGGGTCACTCATCTGCACGAGTGGTACTCTTGGATCAGTGATGTATCATCTCAAGAAGAGAGTCAAATGATGGTTTCAACATAAGAATGCTGGAATTCAAGCGATTATGCCATACAACAATACAATCTCTCACATGATCGACAAGGTTGGAACTTATCTATATTAAGGAAAGCGGGCAACTGGCTAGGAGGTTCACGTAAGACAGCTAAATTACTGGAGCATATACATTTGATACATTGCTGGAAAAAGGTTCAAGGTGTTACTAAAGCAAAAATTCAGAAGCTTATCAAGTTGGAAGATATCACATGGCTAGTTTTTATATCTCAGTTACTTTTTCTTATTAGACTGCATAATGTGATATCAATGTTGAATACACTCAACATTAATAATAGGATATATGTACTTGTCATAGTTTATTTCTTTCATCGTGTAAGATCTCTAGACATGGTATTTTATTTTTGATTTAGATATATATAAAATAGCCGTAGGCAATATGCCTAGTGGATTCTGCTAAAAAAAAGAAACTGGGGCAGAAGTTGTGATTGTTGTAAGAAACCTGATTCCAAAATTTGTAATTCTAACCCATTTGAATTGTTTTGAGCCTTTTATACCATTTCCTTCTAACCCTGTCCAAAAGCCCACATTACGGTTCAAAGAAAGACCTTCTGATCAGTCTTCGAGAAACGCCAAGTCAAGCAGGTAAAGGTAATACATGTCAGGGACAACACTCTGATTCAAGCATAAAAAAAATAATAAAAATGAGAGAGTCTTATTGGTGAAAACCCTCGCAGGCACCGTAAGGCGACGGGAGTTGAGAGAAATAAAAAATGAGAGAGTCTTATTGGTGAAAACCCTCGCAGGCACCGTAAGGCGACGGGAGTTGAGAGAAATAAAAAATGAGAGAGTCTTATTGGTGAAAACCCCCGCGGGCACCAGGCGGTGGGAGCTGAGAGAAAGTAAAGAATGAGAGAGTCTTATTGGTGAAAACCCTCACGGGCACCGTAAGGCGAAAGTGAGTTGAGAGATGAACGAATGAAAGAGGTTTGCTGGTGAAAACTTTTCAAGGCACCGCAGGATGAACAAGGTCAAGATTTGGGTAAAGTAATCAAGTCATGGAAATTCTGAGGCAACGAAGTACGACAACTGAAGGTTGATTGGTCGGACAGATTGAGCGGATTAATCCGAAATGCATGTCATGATCATTGGTACCAGCTGTTCCACTCAGATAAGTTTCTTTTTTTTCTTTTGTAGCAGTCATCTGGTTTTGGATTCTTCTTATCCTTACCCCGCAAAGTCATTGCATTTCATTTCTTTTAGGTTTATCTATCTAAGATGTTTCAATGTCAGTCGTGTTCAAAGCAAGTCAAAAGTCACTACCAACTTCCAAAATTGTAAAGCACATCGTGGTCGGAGCATACTAAGGATAACACGATGTAAGGGTAGGGTACAAGGAATCACCGGAAGTCTTATCAGTGGAAGGTATTGGTAATGTCATGGGGGATGCAAAGGTTCAGATAAAGGGGTTAGAGGCACAACAACAACATGGGTATAGAACACTCGGTTCGTCAAAGGTCATGGGGGTTTGAAAGTCAGTCAGAAAGTCAAAGCGGTTCAGGGCCAGTTCGGGGAAGCTAGTCAGAACAAAACAATGCAGCGGAAAGATCTTCAGCAGGAATGCCATCAGCTAACCACCATTTTAAACTGACAAAATTTTCTTTGATTGAAACAGGGGCAGAAAATTTTGGTTGTTTCGGAGAAACCCTCCATAAAGAAAGGAAGTCACCAAACAGGTTTGATTTTTAATTTTCAGGACCCTCCTGGAAAATGGGACCTAGTTCAAAGTTCAGAAATAGCATAATCTAGCATAAATATATCCCAAAGGAATATAAGTCGGTTTAGAAGTTTGCATGTTCAATATAGGACGCAATTAGGAGTTTCCAGGACCCTCCTGAATAATGGGACATAACTTTAGGATTTTGATTAGATAACAACATTTAGCTTAAATTCTGCTATAAGGGTAGTATAATTCAGTCATAAAAGTTATCACTCTTAAGATAAAATTTGACTTTTGATTTTCAGGACCCTCCTGGATAATGGGGAGTAGTTTAAAGATTCTCTTAGATAGCAAGATTTAGCAGAACTCATACCTGTAGAAGATATAACTTAGATTTAAAATTGTCGTTTAGCTAAGAGTTGTCAGGACCCCCCTGAATAATGGGACCTAACAGTCAAATTTTTAGTAATACTTGGTAATATGATTCAGTTTTACACTCACATCTGTGCCCAACCACCAAACTGGGGCAGCAAAATTTTCTTTGTTTTTGTCTATTTTGTTGAAGTCAGGAGCCCGCCTAGAGAGCAGGGAATACTTTCAAGCGCAGCAGTCAGGAGCCCGCCTGGAGAACAAGGGAGTAAAATTTAAATTTTAGCTTTCAAATACTTTGTTTTGTCTTTGTTGAAGTCAGGAGCCCGCCTGGAGAGCAGGGAATACATTTCAAGTTGAAGTTAGGAGCCCGCCTGGAGAGCAGGGAATACTTTCAAGCGCAGCAGTCAGGAGCCCGCCTAGAGAACAAGGGAGTACAATTTAAGTTCTTAGCTTTCGAATTCTTCGTTTTGTCTATTTGAAGTTAGGAGCCCGCATGGAGAACAAGGAATACATTTTAAGTTAAAGTCAGGAGCCCGCCTGGAGAGTAGGGAATACTTTCAAATACAACAGTCAGGAGCCCGCCTGGAGAGCATGGAATACTTTCAAATACAGCAGTCAGGAGACCGCCTGGAGAGCAGGGAATACTTTCAAGTTGAAGTCAGAAGCCCGCCTGAATAGCATGGGAATATAGTTCGAGTTCAACAATCAAGCACCCACCTGGAGAAAGGAAAAGCATCTTAGAGCACAATTCGAGTTCAACAATCAGGCGTCCACCCGGAGAATGGGAAAACATCTCAGATTACAATTCAAGGCGACAACAAAGAGATTCCACAAGAGAGAATAGAGGACAACAAGGCAACAAAGAACTACAAGATCAAGTTTGAAGATATAGATAGACTTTTGTAATCCATAGATCATAGTCTAGTCTAGTTTTTTTTTTTATTTTGACATGGTGTAATAAAGGGGTTCCGTGAGCAGCAGCAGCAGCAACAGTGAAAGCCCGGCTTCGTGGTAGTCCCAGCTACCAAAACTTTCCAAACTACACTGACCTAATTCCTTTTTAGCCAAGGATATGTAGGCAACCTCAGAAGCAGGGTGCGGTCAGCTTTTTCAAAAATGCTTCCTATGGAGTATTCAAACGGGCAAAAATCACTCGTATCCACTCACTTATCTTTGCACGAAAACTCTTCGTGTTTCCGCGCAAAGAGGGGCAGCTGTGAGCACGTGATTTTTTCCCTATATGTATTACTCCAACAAACTCAAAACAAAATAATTTCTGTCAGTGTTTGCAATTTTAGGGATTTTCGTGGCATTTTCTGATAATTGTTTGCATTTGTCTGTGCATGTTTATTTTATTTAATTCATAAAAATACAAAAAATATGTTGCATTTGCATTTAGGCTTAATTTTACATTTTAGGATTAATTAGAAAAATTAATTGTTATAAGAATTGAAAAAATCACAAAAATAGTTTAATTCGCACTTTTAATTTTAAACTTTGATTTTGAGTAGTTTTCTTTTGTTAGTTTGCGTTTAATTAATTGTGTTAATTACAATTTTAGGGTTAATTGGTTTTTCTTTTAAGTTCCAGGAATTAATTTTGGATTTTAATGAGATTTCGAAAATTAAAGGAAAAATTGAAAAAAAGAGAAAAGGAAAAGGAATAACAAAAGAGGAAATCCGATTTTGGGCCTTCTCTAATTCTAATTCCCCAAGCCCAAACCAAACATCCCCATACCCGTCCAATACCCGCCCGTCTGCCTTGAACCGACCCGATTCCCAAATAACGCATAACTAAAAGAATCAAACGGGCGAGCCCTAAATCCCAATGCGTTACTGTTCTTCTTCTCCGAAGAACACGCGAACAAGCCCCAAATTCAGGCAAAATCCATGGCGAGTGAACAACAAACCTCACACCACGCGTTTCCCCTTTTCTCTTCTTGCCATTTCTAACGGTTTCTGACGCCAAGATTCCCCTCTCCTCTCACTCGCTCGAATTTGGATTTATCTAACGATTGGAAGGTTCTGGAGGAGGATTCGCTGGATGAGTGTGAGGTGTTGGATTGATTTCACTCAATCCAAGCCCCACATTCATCAAGGGGTTCATTCTTAAAAGGAACTGGATCCGATTTTGTGGGGGGACTCGAAAAATTTTTCTGAAAAAAAGGGGTTAAAAGGCTTCTTGAACTGATGGTTTTCGGGGTTTATTTTCTTATTTGAAGAGTCCTTTCAAAGTTGAAGAGAAATATAAGTACAAGTTTTTCTTATTTTTGAATCCGGATTTGAGTTCCAAGGAAATAAAAATCGAAGTTCAGGCTTGGTTTTCTGCTGTCGTCTTGCTGACTCGCTGCTGAACCTCGTTAGGATTTGGAGTCAAAAGGTGTATTGCGGAGTCTATAATTGTTAAAAGAAGTTTGAAATTTCAGGTTCAATTTCTTTCTCCTCTGCATCTCTGTTTTAAAGTGTTCATGAGTTGTGAGACTCTGTCGAGAATGGTGTTTTGCTCTATAATTGGATTTCTTGTTGATGAATTTCTTCTCAATGGTATGATGTTCTTGAGTACGTTCAATCAGTAAGTCATTTTGAGTAGTCGTCCTCTATGCTTTCTATGCTTTAACTGCTATTTTTTGGGTGTCGAGCTACCACTATCGAGTCAAGATGTCATCGTTTTTTCAGATGAATGATGAGTTCAATTTTGAAGATCGCGAGCGAGCATGAAACTATGAGGTTATTTCTCGTTAGGTGTGTTTTCTGGATTCTAAAAGACCTCCTCCTGTGAAATCTCTTTGTTTATCAGAACTTTTTAATTTTCTCTTTCCCTTGATTTTGTAACTATATGCTCTGTTCGTGCTGGTATGGAGCTACTGAAGCTCTCCTCGGTAGTATGTGCTCCTTATGGCTTACCATATTGAGATGACCAGTGAGGTTCACGTTTCCAGCAGTCATTTCTGCCTGTTGAACTTCTTAAAATAGAGTTAAATATGAAACTTATTAGTGTGTGTTTTGTTCCCCTTGAAATCAGTTGGTATTTGTTAGCTCTTCTTGACTCTTTTGTCCTGTTGAAGCGTAAATGATGAGATCCCAGTCCCTGTTTAAACAGTTAACTGCTTTGTTCTAATCGATGGTTAAGGCATGTTGTTCTATTTTGGTTTCATTTTATATAAGCTGGCAGTGTCCAGCTTGAGCTAGCGATTGAGTCGCGAGTTTGAAACCAGGGAAAGTTTTTAACTGCCATCTTGATTGAATGCATAAGTGTACATTGTCAAATTCTCGTTTATGAATCTGTGTCGATCTGTGAAGGAGATAGATAAGTTAGTTTAACTTTGATCGTTTGATTGTTCTGGTGTGGAATGATAACATGCTGAACGTGATGAAGCTTGGCGACATAGGCCTAAACGATTTTAAGTGTTTTGTTCATTTTGAGCTGTAAAATTTACATGTTGAACAGAGTTTTTTTTAGTTGCTGCATGACCTCCCAGATTTGTTGCTACATACCAATTTTCCTCTTCTTTGGTTGTATTCTTCATTAAGTTGTCTCTTCCATCTGGTGATCACTAAGGCACACACACTAGGAACTTGAGTTACAACGATGGAATGAAGAAATTGGATTGTTTTCGATCCTAGTTACTGTCCAGACTTGTTTCTTTTCCCCCTAGTTTGAAGTCTCCTTTTGGGTATTGGCATATGACTTGCTTGAGGAGTCCTTCTGCTTTGTTTAACTAAGTTTTAAAATTCTTCTTTAGTGATTCTTGTCAGCTCTCATTTTTAAGTTTCTTGTATGTATTGGAGTTTCCTTAAGTAGATACATGAAATGGTGATACTACGACGCAAATCCTTTAGCATAACGTTAGCTGAATCATTCGCTTTTGGGTGTCCTCTGTTTGTAATCAAGTTTAATATGTATCTTGGCATGCCATTGTTTTGTCCAGGATTTATTCTTTGTCCCTGATTCATTGAGAAAATCCCTGGTCCATTTAGAAAATTACGATAATTTCATTCTTATGTTTAAGTACGAAGTTGGTTAATGGATGCAGATATGTGGATGCTACCGTATGAGTTCATTTTCTGGTAATCATTTTAAAATCAGAGACTCCACTGGTTTAGACCCATGATTAAACTATCACAAATGCAGGTACTATCCCTGTGAAGAGGTTGTGCTATAATTTCAAATTAGTTTTGAATATGCATATTTCGTAGTTTACTTAGTTAGATGCTATCTCTTTTAAAAGTAGAATTCGAGGTGTGCCATTTAGTGAAATTTCTATGGTCCTCGCGAAGTTGCAAACGCGTAGTTGCTTTAGGCGCGCTGTTTTAATAAATTACCTTCCTAAATTCGGGTGCGCATTTATGTGACCCAAATCCAAATCTCAACGATGTTGAAATATGTCAAAAACCGCGGGTGCATTTATGTGACGTGGTTTGAGACACATTTTAATAACGTTGCAAATTTTTCCTTAAAATTGAATAAAGTGGTTAAAACTAAAATTTGCACATAGGTTCAAAATTGTTTAAAATCAGATAATTAAATCGGATATAACAGTTGAGCGACCGTGCTAGAACCACGGAACTCGGGAATGCCTAACACCTTCTCCCAGGTTAACAGAATTCCTTACTCGGATTTCTGGTTCGCAGACTGTTAAACAGAGTCAATTTTTTCCTTGATTCGGGATTGGAACCGGTGACTTGGGACACCATAAATCTCCCAAGTGGTGACTCTGAATCTTTAAATACATAAATCCCGTTTCAATTGTCCTTTAATTGGAAAAACTCCTTTATACCCTATTCCAGGGGTGTAGTAAAAAAGGGAGGTGTGACAGTGAGACCTATGTAACCTAGGCTCTGATACCAACATGTCACGACCCCAAACCGGACCCAGTCGTGATGGCGCCTCTCATGAAGTGAAGGCTAGTAGACACAATTTCCGAATTCATTTTTAACAATTTAATAAGTCAATTTAAGTCATTTATAAGAATAAGTACCCAACAAGTGTAAATTTAGCGAAATAGAACAAGTGCGGAAATAAATATAGCCCGACATCGGGGTATTACAAGTCACGAGCATCTACTAAGGTCTATATACACGGAAAGTCTGAAATGTGCACTAAATACAGTCTGATGAAATCAGGAGGGAGAAAAGCAATAATGCGATCGCCGACAGCTACCTTGCTAAACTCCAATGACTCTGCCTCTGAACAACTAACACTTGCTACCAGGTTAAAAAATACCTGAATCTGCACACGAGGTGCAAGGAGTAATATGAGTACTCCGACTCAGTAAGTAATAACAATAAATGAAGACTGAGCGAGAAGAAATCAAGTAAAGGCACGTCAATAGGCTATAAAGAAGCAGTAAAAGCCAGTAAAAAGTAATGAAGCTGTGAAATCTCTTAAAAACATCTTAGCTCAGTTTAAACTTCTTTAAATTACCTTTTACAGTTAAACAAGTAAACGAAGAGCAGTTAGAACAGAAAAACACAGAAAAATCCGCCCCTCGGGCACAAATACCAACGGAAACAGCCCCTCGGGCAACAACATGGAACAACACCAGCCCCTCGGGCTATATCTCACATCACAATGGGTACCAGCGCTCACTGGGGGTGTGCAGACTCCTGGAGGGGCCCTTTACGGCCCAAGCGCAATATCAAGCCGTCTCATGGTATCATCACATAGGCTATCGGCCTCATATCAACAAGCAACCTCGTGGCGTACAAGTCTCAGACCCTCTGTCTCATAATCATAATCAGTGTATCACTGCTGCGGCGTGCAACCCGACCTTAATGTATTCTCACAACACAGGTCCTCGACCTTACCCAGTCAGAATCTCATAAGCCACTCAGCAATAGTAAAACATGATGCTTAGCCCAAAATATTATTTAAAATATCATTTTAATGTGTTAAAACAGAGTAAACATGGTTGAGTTATGGAAACAGTAGAATATAGCATGACTGAGTTCTAGTATAAAACCAAAACAGTGAGGAAATATCAGGAAAAGTGCCCTAAGGGTTCGAATAGTTGGCACGAGGCCCAAATATGGCATTCAGCCCAAAACATGATGGTAGCCAAACTGTTTTCAATCAAATACGCGATAAAACAATCATTCGGGATATACTAAGTCACAATCCCCAACAGTGCACGACCCCACGCTCGTCATCTAGCGTGTGCGTCACCTCAATATAGCACAACGATGTGCAATCCGAGGTTTCATACCCTTAGGACAACATTTACAATCATTACTCACCTCGATCCGGTCCAAACTCTAGCCCGCGATGCCTTTGACCTCATGAATCAACCTCCGAATGTTCCAAATCTAGCCACAATCAGTACATAACCATTAAAATATGCTAAGGGAACAAAGCTCACTCGTATATATCCAATTTACATTGAAAATCTCAAAATTGTTCAAACCCAGCCCTCTAAATCTGATAAAAGTCACATCAATAGAATCCTCATTCTCCCACGAGTCTACCCATATCAAATTCATCAAAATCCGACCTCAATTGCCCATTCAAATCCCCAAAAGAAATCTCAAACTTTTCTTCCATTTTTTTCCAATTTCCACTCTAATTTCTCAAATTAAATGATGAAATTCAAGACTAAATCATAGAATTAAACCAAATATGAGTGAAGAATACTTATCCCAATTGCTCCATTGAAAATCCCTTCAAATTCCACCTTCTCTCCAATGGCTTTTATGATATTGGACTTAAACCCTCGATTTTAAATTATAAACTGGCTGCCCAGACATTTCTTCATCGCGAACGCAACATATCTCTCGCGTTCGCGAAGCACACTCCTTTACTGACCGAAATTTCTTCCACGCGAACGCGATAACCTTCTCGCGAATGCGAAGCACATAAAACTCAACAAGTCGTGGACGCAACCTCTACTACGCGAACGCGTAGACCAAAAGCATTGGGGACCCAACTATCCCGCTTCCTCTATGCCAACGCGACATGAGCTTCGCGAACGTGATAACCACAGATCTCACACCTTCGCGATCGTGGAACCATCTTCGCGAATGCGAAGGCCAACTCCACATCCTCACACCTTAAACCTTCATAAATGCATAACATGCATCGCGAACGCGAAGGTCAAAAACCTGCAACACCTACAGCAGAAATTCTGCAATTTTTCACAACATGAAATGGTCCGATTGACCACCCGAGATCCTCGGGACCTCAACCAAACATGCCGACATATCCCATAACATCATTCAAACTTGCTCCAACCTTCGGAACGCTCAAAACAACATTAAAATACCAAATGTTCATCGGATTCAAGCCTAAGAATTCCAAAATCTTCTAAATTACGCTTTTGATAAAGAACCCAACCAAACCACGTTCGAATAACCTGAAATTTTGCTCACACATCCCAAATGCCACAACGAAACTACTGCAACTTCCGGAAGTCCATTCCGAACCCTATATCAAAGTCTCACCTATCAACCGGAAACACCAAAATCTCAATTTTGCCAATTCAAGCCTAAACCTTCCACGGACCTTTAAAATGCATTCCGATCACGCTCCTAAGTCCCAAATAACCTAACGGAGCTAACCAAATCATAAAAATTCCTATCCAAGATCATATACAAACAAGTCAAATATTGGTCAAACCTTTCAAATTTCAAGCTTCAAACTGAGAACTGTTTCTTCCAAATTCACTCCGATTACCCTGAAAATCAAAACCGACGATTTACATAAGACATAATACATCATACGGGGCTAGCCACGGCCGAGAACTGGCGAGCAAAGTGCAAAAGCTCAAAACGACCGATCGGATCGTTACACTTCTCCTGGTCCATTAATTCTACCACAGATAAATACTGAGAAACACATAATATTACCGAAGACCAACATATTATACGTGGTGACTCTATATGTCTATGAATATGTATTGGTAGTTGGTCATTCACTTGGTTTAACCACGTTCTTTAATCTTTGTAAAAGTAAGTTGTATGTAACATATGTTTTACCACAAATCATGCTTCATATCTTCAACTATCAGTTGGCATTGTAACAGATGATGGATGAAAACCATAATATTTCTAATATAAAATATTCCTAATTTATATCAATCCCGATTCGCACATATGTGCTATCTCACAACTTCAATATATAAAGTTTTATCAATTTATTAAACAGGAAGGTCCTGTTGGATTGTTGCAAGTATTGAAAATTTAGAACTTCAAAAAGGGTGGTTGTATATCATCTGCAAAAAGTGTCAAAAGAAGGTCGATAAACTGGGAAATATTTATTCTTTCCCAAACCCAAAATATAAAAATGAAGATTACTGAATAGGTAATCACAAAAGCTCTATTTCCTTAATCCATCAAAACATATATTTATTTCTCAAATCAAATGCGCATTTAGGTACCGGCTTCGGGTTAGGGTCATGGATACTATTGCCTCTGTTTCACTATTGCTCAGGGACCGCGAAGCCATATTTCTTATAGGCAAGTCTATAAATGAATTGAAGGAAGGGTTACTTGAGGTATATCAACTACTTATATTCATATTTTTTTATTTACAAAAATTGTAACGGAAAATTTGGTTCTAGAATACTGGCGGTGTTGATAAGCCTTCCTATCCAATAGAGTTGAATAATATTCTTCAGAGAAAATTCATGTTTAAGGTTATTGTCAAGAGCTCGAACCTTTGTTTGCAAGATGAAGTTTATAGTGTTGTTAAGCTTACCGATGATGACCACCTGGTACAGAATTATAGTCCTGCTCCACCTTCATATGCCTTCACCGTATGTGATCTTCGCTCACAAACTTCATAACATATTTTAGTTTAGCATTTCTGTTAAACTGCCAATTTTTTACTCTGTTTTTAAACTCATTTATTTTTTAATGTTTGATAGGACCCTGACTGCAATACTGATCAAGGCGTAGATGGAGAGAAGGAATGCGAGGTAAATACATTGCTAATATTTATTTGTCCTTTACCATGACACCTACTTATATATGGTATGTATATATTTCTGTACAATTTTCAGATCTGGTATTTATTTTTTAAAAACTTTACAATTTCTGAATGTTCATTTTGTTTATTCTATAGGAAGCTACAGACTCATTATTAATTTTTTTTACATTATTGATTCTTTTAGTTACTGGTTTGCAGGTTATAAATCTATCTATTAAGCACTGTAGTAACATTACAAAAATTTTAAGCTTAAGCAAATGGGAAGAAATGACCTAGTTTAAGTTTACCATTTTCTCAATGGTAAATGGATTTCTTGAAACTAAACTCTTAGAGTTTTCTATGGCAGTCAACTTTTGCCACGAATCATCAACTTATATTTATTTACTTAACAGCCAAGCTGCAAAAGGAGCTTGAAGAAGAGAAGATAAGAGACTAGAAACGGTGACAATGAGTCTGTAGTGACTCAAGCTAACTTGATATTAAGATAATAAAGATGCTGATCTCCATACTTCTATTGATTTCTGGAGAAAACCATTATATTTTTTGCTTTTCTCAGCATTACGTACAATGAAGGGTAAGCATTTACAAAATCAAATTTTATGAGAACGGGAATGAACCTGTGGGTTTGTAACAGAGTAGTAAAGAGGAGATGGTTTATGGAAAACACTGTCACATCCATCAAAAGCAGCATCAAATGAACCTTCTTCTAATAGGTTTGCTTTGAACAAAGCAATAGGAAGTAAAGGTTTACTACTGATTTTCATTTTTTATTTTATTTTTAAATTTGTAGAGCTCTACCGAAGATAACAAGTTGATCGATATTGCAAACACACCTGCCAAGGTAGGTATACCTAATGCCGCAACAGTGGTTGAAGAAGATCCGAATGCACAATTGTCTGGAAATAAGATCAAAAGAGTATTTAAGAAGAAGAAAACATAATAAGGTGTTTGCATATGTAACAGTTGGAGAAACCAAAAACGGTCTTATAAGTTAGTTTAGTAGTTTTATTAGTTATGAACAAGATATTTGTATCATTTCATGTTTTTCCTGCTACTAAACTTTTCCGATTTAGTTTGTTTTGAAATTTCAATAGTAATGGACAAGTAATTTGAAGCTTTTCATGGTATTTTATGGTATTGCCTTTTTGTTTTTATTTACATAAGACAATCCATTGGTTTCTTCTACTCTATAGATAATTTTTGTTAGTGGAGAGGCTACTTGCCCGTGTTTGTTATTTTTTTGACCTATTTCACTGTAACATTTGTTCTATATGTGGTCGAGAAACTCTTTTCCATTCTTGGTTAATATATTTCTCCATTAAGCTGTATAGATTGCTGCCTCGTGAAGCTTTGATGTTTGATTGGTAGCCTTGAATTGATGTGAGGATGAAGCTATCTCATTTTTGTTGATAGATTGACAATGGCTGGAACTAGCATAGCATGTTCGACCTACATCATTATAACGATGGAATTGAACTACTGTTTTATTAATCCTTTCAAGAGTCTGTCGAATATTGTGTCCACAAGGCAGTCAAGAAATGATGCAAATTATTTTTGATTACACCATCAATTAGAGTTTGAACATTAAGCACGTGTTTGCTGATTATTGCTCGAATTTTTGGGAAAATGGTAATACCCTGTTGTGGACTTGAACCTACTGCCAATGATAATTTTCCAAGCCCTTTTTGCCATAATTATGGCTTCTGCAAAAGTTTTATTTGAATTAAAAATGCTTCTAAGCCGATTGAACTAAAACACAAATGGAACTTCTGGTTGCAGGTGACTAGCAATGGATATGCCTAAGTGCACAGCGGTTTGCTTGGATTCTATTATCTGTAATCAGTCATGTTATAATCGACCATGTTTACAGACATATGTAAATTAAATTACTTTACAAGAGAATTCATGGCATTTCAAATTATTGAAGGTCGCCACTTATAATAGTCTAAGTCGTGCAGAAAACTTATCACATTCGAACCAAATACTTAGTGCACAAGAGCTTAAATTTTATAGTAACTGATGTACCATAAGGTCATCTAAACCATGTTTTTCATAGCTTATAAATGCACCCACCAGGGATCTTTCAACAACTAGAGACTAACTTGTCCGAATAAAAAAAAAGCAACTTACATCATGCATCTTCACCACCGATGCGCGGATCATTTCAACAAAACAAAGAGCGGAGAGAGAATATTTAAACTGATGTATCTTGCAGACTAAATTTATCAACCACGTTCAAAATAGTTAAACCAAAAAAAAAAAAATCATCTTTCATGAGTTTGTTGAGAGAATTAGTGTCTTTTCATGAGCGGATGATTTCGAAACAAGAACCTTCAAGTTGGTAGCTTCGCTCGAGATATTTATGAGAACATTTGTCAAGACCCTAAAACCAACCCGGTCGTGATGGTGCCTCTCGTGAAGATAAGGCCAGCCAGCATAACACCCAAATTAACCATTAATTAATAAGAATCGCTTTTAAGCCTTTAATTAAACAAATGTTTCGCATTATAAGTCTAAATGAATTGTGCGGAAATTATATACAAGTCCGACATCGGGGTGTCACAAGTCACGAGCATCTACTAAGGTCTGAATACAACGAAAAGACTGAAGATGTACTAAATACAGACTAATGAAAACAGGAGGGAGAAAAGCTGTGCTGCGAACGTCAGGCAGCTACCTTGCTAAAACTCCGATGGCTCTGCCTCTGAGCGACCAACACCCGCTACCGGGTTCAGAAATACCTGAATCTGCACATAAGGTGCAGGGAGTAATGTGAGTACTCCAACACAGTAAATAATAAGAGTAAATAAAGACTGAGCAGTAAGAATCACGTAAACCACATCATAGCACCACAATGATTACAACATGTTCTCAAAACAGGATACCATTCAAATCATTTCGTTAAACTTCCAATTTCAGTAAAAATCCTTCGAAAAATATATTTCTAACCTTTTCAATATAGGTTTAATAATATATATATATATATATATATATATATATATATATATATATATATATATATATGTGTGTGTGTGTGTGTGTGTGTGTGTAGTGAAAGTAATAAAAATCATGATCGGCCCCTCGGACAAAACATAATTCGTACACAGCCCCTCGGCAAAACATAAATTTATAACCATTTCATAACTTAAAACTTCTGTTTAAATGAAAGTTGTTTAAAACATTTGTTCAACATTTTCAATAGAGGCTCGGTCTAAAGATGAGTGAAAACAATGTTAAATCAGCATATTCGATAGAAACTCACTTTAAGGCGGAGTGAAAAACAGTAAGTTCATAAACATGCCCCTCAGTCAAAGCATCACTCATGTACATGTATATCTATAGCCCCTCGGGCAAGCCTCTCAGTCACTCATGACACAGCTCTTACCGGTAAGCTCTCACACTTAGCACTTACACTCAATAAGTACTATATATTAACCGCTGCGGTGTGCAGTCCGATCTATATATTGTTGCGGCGTGTAGCCCGATCCATATATAGTCGATTGCACTCACTGGGGGTGTGCAGACTCCGGAGGGGCTCCTACAGCCCAAGTGCTATATCGCTGCGGCG